GTCGTACTCGATTCACCTTCGCATTACTGGAACAAACTTGCTCGACGCATACACTAACTCTCGTGTTTTCTCTGGTCTATGCCTACCCTATGGAGATTACGTCCAATCTGCTGCTCTGTGACGCGTATCGGTACCCTGCTTTATTTCTATAATGTGCATACTCTAGCGGTGATGCGCTCGTTGTCTACTCCTCTCTTACTTAGGGAGGGGGAATAAGGAGGTGCCCGCGCCCATGTTATTGCTGTTTTGTTTTGTTTTTCGCAGCCAACGAAATGTTCAGGATTGTGGCCTCACACGAAGTTCAAAATCTCACGGACGAGCCTGAACCACATGCAGCCTCGATGGGCGACGTTGCCGCAGTTGCTTGATGCGACATGAGGCGGGCGTGGTTCCCACGCGCCACTCCAGCCATGCCGACCGTCGGCGCCGTCCTTCCCCTACTCTTCTAATGCCCCTCTGGCACATCAGCATTCTCAATCGTATCCTCCCTGGTTCGATCCCGCCTCACATGTCTTCGGATCTCTCACACCGCCCACCCCCATTCATCAGCATCATATTTTCCAGCCTTCCCCATCGTGAACAAAAAACACCAAGTAAAATTTTACTTGATTTTTCAATTCGTATGTAATTCAATTCTGTAGTCGTTGAGCTATATGAGGATTGGGGGCGGGACTGTTCAGGCCTCCCTGGATGTCATGCCCGAGAGGGCGGTTGGGGCTTCGGGCTCTTTCCGCCGCGGCCCCAGACGGGGGGCAGGCCGGGCTGCCCCTGGTCCAGGCGACCCGGCACCTGATGTCACATGTCGTTGGGTCTTTCAGACTTTGAGTCCACATTCCATATTGGACCCCGAGTCGTCGGCTGTGGGAGTTCGGAGGATCATGTGCGAGCGTCGCTGCGCGCTCTGGAAGCCCAGCAGCAAAGCACCCAACGTTGGCGGTGGTGTTATGCCTCCGTGCGCAAGGAAGCTCAGAGTTGATGCGGCGAGTTCGGTATCGGATGTGTGCTGCGTGTGAAAGGATGCGCCAGAGTTTCCTGCGACGTATTGTGCTAGAGTGAGATTGGCTCAATATGGCAAACGCGACCGGGGCCCTCTTGGCAAACAATATCCAGAACATCGTTGGCGAAATCTCCAAACTGAGTTTGGCAATTTCCAAAATGTCCGGAAAGTGTTCTGCTCTGAAATATCAGGGGAAATCTCCAGAGTATATTTGGGCCCAAAAAAATATTATGGGAGATCTCCGGAACATCTCCAGAAAATGTTTGGCGATATGTGTTGGAGATTTAGTTGAGCTTGGATGGAGCTTCGTAGGGCGCGATGACTTGTTTGAGTTTGTTTCTGGTGATTCGGAAGGCGCGAAGATGTTGGAGATGATTTTGAGATGTGTTGGAGATTCGTAAGACGCGATGATGTTTTGGATAATTATTGTTTGTTCTTGAGATTTGCTGGAGATCCGTAGTGCGCGAAGATTTTTGTTTGAGATTTGTTGGAGATTTGTTTTGGGATATTCGTGAGGCGCGAAGTTTGGCGGGAGATTTCGTTTGAGATTTGTTAGGCGCGCAGATTTGTTGGGGGTTCATTTGAGATTCTTTAGGCGCGAGACGGAAATGTTTCCGAGATTCGCGGCAAGTTTCTTTGGATATTGGAGATTCCAAAAAAGCCGCAGGGAGTTGTTTAAAAGATTTTGGGGCGGTCGAGTTTGCCATAATCGACGCAGTCTACTACAAGAGTTGGGGCACGAACGTGTCGCAGACTCTGCTTGTGCCGCGGCTTCCCCCTCCCTGGTTCGAGCGTTTGGCATTGTCCGTTCCCGCGTGTCGATTTTCTGGGCGGAGGGCCCAAGTTGCGACGATGGCCTCTTCGCAGGGGACCATCCTGGGGGCCAAACCTTTCGCGCCCAGCACCGGAGTTCGCGGGCCGCACGCCCCCCCCGCCTCCAAGCGGCGGGGGAAAGTCCTGAAACGCAGAGGGGGACAGGGCGGCGGGCTGGCTTGCTCGTTGGGGGTGGCGGATGCGGCGCGTTCGCAACCCAGGACAGGGGGTGTAGCGCTGTGTTTCGGAAACGAATGTCAAAATACGTCGCGGAGGTTTCAGAGGACCGCACGCGTAATTCAATGTTGTTTCCGATTTCGTCGCGGTTTTGGATACGCTCTCATGTTTGCGAGACGCATGATTGATTTAGCCCACAACACAAACGATGCAACGATGATGGTATTATTTGTGATGGTAATGCTTTACTGGGACAGCGCTTTCGATACAATGAATCTCGCTTCCATTTGCAAAGCGCTGCGCAAACTCGGGTTCCTTCCTAAAATAGTGGGCATGTTGCGATCCATCTATGCGACCCGTTTCTATGCTGTTTCAGCCCACGCTGGGAATTCATCGGGAAGACGACTGGGCGCTTACATCGCACAAGGATGTATTGCACGCTGCGGTTGTTATGCTGCATCTTCAACAAGAGATTGGGTATGCGGTTACACGGGACGTGCTGTACGCTGATAACACGACTGGTCTCCCAGCGCCAAGCCTTCTTCCAGGATATGTTCAATGCTACAGTGGAAGAAGGGCGCAGGTGGCTGAGACTTCGGTTGAGACAACACCGTGCAGACGCAGGTGTCTACGAATAAGACGAGCACGAACACACACGGGGGCGACATCAAGGCAATCCGGGGCGAAGTGTCTCTGCGAGGCCTGGTGCGTTGCGATGAATGGCTTCGGTCCAATTATCCAGACTGCTAGGGGGAGTCGGACAGGGCATTCAAATTTTTGGACACAACGTGGGCTAACATGTCAATTTGGTGGAAACGGAATTTCACGATCTATGACAGGGCCGTCTTGAACAATCTGCTTTGCTCATTGGTCTCTCTCTTTCTCTCTGCTTGCTCACGTACAGCTCACCGTGGTCGCTTGTTTGAATGTCATTGTAGCGACGACTGTTGGGCTTTCCATCTGCATGCATGTCTGGGGTTCGCAACGAGACTGGTTCGAAAAAAAGGCATCAACGAAACCGTTGTCGCAAACATCACCCTGCAGACAAGGAGAGCTGTGCCATACACTGGCAACTTCCGATGCGAATTCGTTTGCGAGTCTTGTGTTTTTCAGCGCAGACGGGTCGCCTAGATCGTGGGCCGCCCGCCGTAAGAGAAGACGCCCGCGCGCGCGGTGGGCATCCGTAGAGCGTCAGTTTACGCAGCACGTGTAACGCTGGCCTGCGCGCTTCTGTATTTCACGTCCCCTCCCTTGTCCTCTTTTCCCCTCCCTCCCCTTCTCCCCGCCCCCCTGGCCACCGCAAGCGGGCGACAAATTTTCACGAGCGCACCAACGTGCAAAAGTCGTCCTGCCTGTGCGTCCTCCGGGGTGCACGGCCTTTGGCTGACTGTCGGGGTGCGTGGCGCTGTCTGGAGTATCGCTCGGGCCAGTGGTTCCGCTTCTTCCACTTCCGTGGGGATGTTTGCTTTACTGTTTGTCGGCCGGGGATCCAGGGCACCATGTCGGAATGTTGCTCCTGCGCGTGAGGTTCCAGTCTTGTTTTTTCCTGTTGACGTCCATTTCTGGGCGGAGGGCCGCTCGCGGCCGACAGCCCAGAGGACGAGTACGGGGAAGAGGGGGGAGGAGCAAGGCAAGGAGGAATGAGTATCGAATGGCCTTCGGCCCGTCCCGCCACCGTGGGTACACAGCCATATGTATGATCGTTGGGGTCTCGTGTGGGGCCTTTTTTTCCAGGCCTCTTGGAGGCAGTTGGGTGGCTTTTTTGGGGCCGTACGCCAAGCTTATTCAAACACTCCAGGAGCATCAATGATTGTTGCCTGTTGGGGCCCTCATGGGGGGCCTCTTGGGGGGCCTTCTTGGCGCGTCTTAGAGACTTCTTGGGCCGTTTACGTCGACTCTTGGGGCCCTCTGGGCCCGTCTCGGGGCCCTTCTGGGTCCGAACATTTCACGCGCCATCACTTGGCAAAGCCCAGGGGGCACGCGACAAGCCCCAAAAGATTTTGGAGTTTGGGGTCCAGGCCCCTTTGAGTACTCCTCAGGACTGAGGACTGAGACTCCAGGGTTAAGGCAAAGGACCTGCAGACACGCCCACTCCATGCCCAGAGGCACGGTGGCGGACACTCTCGGATTAGCTGCTGGAATGATTCGACACAGTGTCGGACAGCAAACGCCAGCGAGGGTTGAGGACGGATGGAAGAGGGTGGAGGGTGCATGGCCCTTGGGGCAAGCACGGGGGAGCGTCGTCGAGGCAGGTGCTGGGAGGAGCAAGGGCGGAGGGAGAGAGAGGCGCCGAAGAGGGGTGGGGAGGGAGGATGCAGAGGAGGTCGTGGGTGTGGAATCGGAAGGGGCAAGGACACGGACGGGAAGGAAGGAAACAGGGAGGCAGGGAGGGAAGAGGAGCAGGAGTAGGAGTAGGAGGAGGAGGAGGAGGAGGAGGAGGAGGAGGAGGAGAGGAGGGAAGAGGAGGAGGGAGGTGCAGAGAGTGGCAGGAGGGAGGTGCAGACAGCAGGCAGGGTGGACAAGGAGGAGGTGGAATATGGATGGGGGGACGGATGTGCCGAGCGAGGAGGAAACTCGGCGCGGGATGTCCTCGATATCGCGTTCCCTCTCCTTACTATTATTATGATTACGGTGCTTATGTCTCTTATTAGTTCGTCTTCTTCATGGCATGATCTCGACGTGCTCCACGCCTCCCTCCTCCCCCCTCGTCCGCGCACATGCCCCGAGCGGTGGTGCGCTAACCCTCTCTTCCTGGGCCCCCCTCTTCGGCGCACCCGAGAGGCGGGCGGAGTGGCCAGCTAGTTACATCCGAAGCCTCCCCGACGGGTCCAAAGACGTTGGCGTCGGGCGTCGAGCAGTGGGGGTGGGCGTTCAAGTGGGGGGGGGGGGGGAAGATCGATGCACGTTTTGGGCGCTATGGGTGCCCCAACGGGACCCCTTTCGACGCAACGACCCCGACGACAGCGAAGGCTCGGGCGCGTGTCTCCCCTCTCGGGCCAGGGGCGAGGGACAGGCCTGGCGAGCTACTGGCCGGCCATCGAGGCGCTGTGCACGAACGTCTGCCAGAGGCTGAGGCTATCCAAGGAGTTCCGATTCTCCTCGCGCGCGCGAGTGCTTCTCTCGCCTCCCCCCTCCTCTCGTGGCCGCCTCCGCCTCCCCCTCCCCTGTCCGCCTCTCTCTCGTGTCCGCCTCCCCCCTCCTCCCCTCCCCCTCTCTCGTGGCCGCCTCCGCCTCCCCTGTCCTGCATCGGCTAACACTTTCCGATGCTTCTGACGAGATCGTTGTTTCAGTCCAGGAGCTCTCCCTTGTTTTCGGCTTCTGGTATAGAACCATCAAGTGTGTATCCGGGACGAAAAACTACCCCTGTGTATAAGGGGTCGGAGCTTCCCCTGGGCTGCGCATTGAAAACACGCTTCGCCAGGTGTCTGGGTAATTCGTCATGCAGCAAAGGAGTCCCGAGGGAAACGGGTTCTAGACCACGGTCCGGGGCGTTCCCCAGGACTGGCTCCTCATCCTGAGTCGTTTCGTTTGACTGTCCCAGGGGCCGTGTCGGGCTCAAGGGGATCGCAAACGGCTATCACAAATCCGGGACCCTTCCTCCTCCGTGTCAGACCCACAGGTCCCCAGCCCGACCATGCCTTCGATCACGAAGTGCACCACTAGCCCACTGGCAAGAAGCAAGCGCGCGAGGGCACTGTCCTCGAGGCGTCTCGAACAAAGTCACGAGAGGGAGCGTTCGTGTCACGACTGCGGCTTCTGGGGGGACGGGCTTCCAGGCCCTGAGGCGATCAGGCGGCCGTCAGTGGCAAAGGACCCATCCCGCCGATGATGAGGTCGGGAGTTGAGGGAGCCCTCTAAGTGAGAAGCTCACAATCGGCGGCTATGAAGGGTGTGGTTACGCCGGGGTGTGGTTTGCGGTCTGCGTCTGTCGGGGCTTGGGGGCCGCCACGTGGAGCCGCCTCTGAGCGCGGCGGAGAACTCTGTCAAGGTCCTGGTGCGCCCCCCAGGGTGCCGGTTGCAAACCACAACCCTTGTAATCTACACGTGTCGGAGTCGCCGGCAAAAAGCCAGAACATGGGCAGGAGGATGCGCCAGGCGGCGGAGCAGAAGAATTGGAGGTTGATAGAACCCACCTTGCCAAGTCGGTCAGCGAAGTGCCCTTTGGTCGGTTTTCGGGAGGGTGTCCCAGCGCCAATTGCGGGCGGGCGACCGCTGGGTCTGGTCCCAGGTCGTTATCATTCGGTTTTCTTTTGTCGGGCGGGTGATAACGGGAGGGTGACTTATAAAAGTGGTGAGGAATATGGCCCTTCAGCCCCTTTTGGGCACCGGGGGGCCTTCTCCAGAGAGGGAGAGGAGGCGGGGGAAGCCACCTCACCCTCCTGCTTCCGGAGGCCCAGCGAGGAAGAGGGAGGTTCCGAGTCTTCCCCTCTCCGCCGCCTCCCCCTGCTCATGTTCCGGCTTCGTGCCGGCGACTCCGAAGGGTGCGGACTGCAAAGGGTGTGTCTAGTGGGGTTTTCTCCGCGCCCCGAGCGGCGGAGGCGAAGGACGGCCTCTTCGGGGAGGAGGGGCATCGACTAGTTAGACGCAAGAATGACAATTCGCCAGAGTGACTTCTGGTGCGATGGGGCATGCGCGCTTGAGTTTGGCCTAACAAAGCCGTCTAGTCGATGCCGAAGCTGGACGCTATAGGTCTCGCAGGGCAAGGCGCGCAAACGAGCAGGGGCGGGGAGGGGAGGACGGGAGGAGCCGCGTACCAAAGGCCACTCTTGCCCAGGGTCACTCTTACGTGCGGCCGAAGGCAGGCCTGCGGAGGCACGAGGCACAGAGGGAGGCAGGAGGTGGCCCGCCTCTGCGCCGTTGGAGCAGCAGCAGGGTCGGTCCACTTCGGCCCCGTCGATCCGTTTCGGTGTCGATTTCGGCTGGCCCGATCCGAATCCAGTCTGGTTTTCCGACGACTGGATGCGGGCCGATGCTTGCATGGCGCTGTTGTGCATGTTGACGCGGCCAATCCGATTCGGTTTCGTCTCCATGCCAGTGCGGCTTGATCCGACGCACGGTTCTATTCGATAAGATTTCCCGATTCGATGGCGGTTGATTTTGGTCTTGTGTCGTTGACAGTGGCCGTTGTTTGTCGATTTGCATCATGCGTGGTACGTGTGCGTTAGTCGTGTTGCGCTTACGTGTGCACCTTCTCTTGGCGCTGCGTTTGCTTGTGCAGTAGCGTTGCCATATGGCCGTTTCCAAGGTATTCCCGTTGTATGTATGTTGCCACTTGCATATTCATGCTCATGTGCCGCGACATTAGCAGTAAGAAGGAAGTTTCCTTCACCGGTGCAATTAGATTCGCCAGTTTTCCCATTTCGGGGATTCCGCTTTGAACACGTATACCTTTTGAGTTCACAGAGCTCGACATGAGTTGTATGGGTTCAGGGCTCCCGAAGTGTGTTCCGTTGGCTTCTTGGTATCCGACTGCGGGGCCGAGTTGTATTACACAATCTTTCGTGGGTGCGCGGCCGACATGGCACTATGTGGCGCGAATTCTTTTCGTGTCGCGTTTACGCATTCTCCCCGCGGCTCGTCCTGCGGCCCACCCGCGACCGACCCTTCCCGGACCCACCCGCGACCCACCCGCGACGTGCCCCACGACTCGTCCCACGACACGACCCTGGTGCACCAGCTACCCACGCCGCGCGACCGCGCGATGCCTTCGACCCGCCCCGCGACACCCGGCCTGCGAGCCACCCACCACAGTACCACAGTGCTTTAGATTGGCTCCGGAAGAGCACCACAAACCAGCGCAGCCCGCCCGCGCCTCGCCCCGCGACCCACCCCGCACGCACTGTTTCTAAGCGAGGCTGGCCTGCACTGGCTTGGGGAGGTTCGTGTGCGCATCCGCCCACCCGACCCTCCGACTCGCTCCGCGATCTGCCCACACTGAGATGCGTTCGGTGGTCGCCTTTCGCGGGCACCGGCGGCGGCGCGCCCCCTCGCTCTCATCCGCGGGTGCAAGCGTTACGAATTGCGCCGTCGGAGCGGGTCTTCAGCCAGCAGTTTTGTTTGACGGGCTGATGTGCAACTGGGATTCGGCCAGTGGCAGCCGCTGCGCGTGAGGAGCTTTGGGGGATGCGCGTTCATCACCAGCGGCCTGAGCTCGCGAGCCAGGAACTATGCACCAGCTCTTGCCACTTGCCAGGCCCACCTCTTGTGTAGAGACCCTCCCAGCCTGGGCCAGCGGGGCTATACACCAGTCAAGGGCCCAAGATGTGGCCTGTGGCCAAGGCTGGTGGTGGCGAGCAGCTGCGTTGCTCCCGAGGAGCGCCCGCGCCCCGCCCGCAGGGCGTGATTCTTGGTGGCGGGCATGAATTGTTGTGTTGTTTTCTTTGTGGATGCTGTTGCTACCTCTGTCCCCTTCTGTTCCTCCTGCTCTCCTCATCTCACCTAGCCGCGGGGCGTCCTTTTCGCGATTGTTGGACAAATCTGATATTTCCGGTCGATCTCTAGGTGCTCTGGGTTGTTGTTCATTTCTTAGTCAGGTCACGCGTTTTATCTGCAGTTGTAGTTCAGCTGGTTCCATCATGGCCACGGTCTCGGGCATTGCGGTAAGTTGAGCTGCGCAGTGGTACTGCAATTGCAGCGCTTGAACATGCATTTCTGCTCGGTACGACGCTATTTCGGGGAGGCACTTTCCCCGTGCGCGCTAGGATCCAAGCTCCCTCCTTCCATCATCATTGTCATCACCCGTTTCAGCCGTCCCTCACACGTTTCGTGGCCCCATAGGGAGCTCCACCGAAGGTCCCAGTGCTATCGCTCAAATGCGTTCCCCCCCCACCCAGTACAACGCTTCGTGGCCCCATAGGGAGCTCCACCGAAGGTCCCAGTGCTATCGCTCAAATGCGTTCCCCCCCCACCCAGTACAGCGTTTCGTGGCCCCATACCGAGCTCCACCGAAGGTCCCAGCGCTACTGCCCGCATGCGGCCCCCCCATCCAGTACAGCGATTCGTGTCCCGAAAGGGAGCTCCACCGATGGCCCCAGTGCTACCGCCCGCATGCGTCCCCCCACCCAGTACAGCGATTCGTGGCCTCATATGGAGCTCCACCGACTGCACCAGTGCTACCGCCCGCATGCGTCCCCCCCACCCAGTACAGCGTTTCGTGGCCTCACACGGAGCTCCACCGACGGCCCCAGTGCTACCGCCCGCATGTGTTTCCCCTACTCAGTGCAGCGCTTCGTGGCCCCATAGGGAGCTCCACCGAAGAAGTTTGTTCACAATTGCGGTACTCTCAATTTCATATGGTTGGGTTTTTCCCCAGGATGATTGTGTTATGATGGTTATTCTTCTTCAAGACGCCAGCTTTTCATCGCGGGTGGTCCTTCTTCGATTGCCCCGGAATCCGAAAACGGCTTTCGTACAGCCAGGACGTTGAAAGAAGGAGCAGTTTGGGTTTGGAAGGGGCTCGATGTTCCTGCGTGCTTTCCATGCCTGATTTCTCTAACGCAGGCGCTTCCGGAGCCAAAAATGGCTTCGGTCCCTACAGCTGGCGTTCCTTATTTCAGCAGCCTGGCTCTATGCCCCGAACTTGGAACACCAGCCGTGGTGATTTTGCCCCTGGCGCCGGGGAGGTTTGGGGCGCCACCCATCCCAGAGGTCACTGGCAGTTGCCGACGCGCAGAAGAGGGTAGAGAGAGGAGGGGCATCTTTTCAGAAGGAGGTTCACTCTTTGAAGCCTCCGGCAGGCTCTCGCCTTGGGCGCCCGCTGCCGTTTGCCACCGCGAGACGGGGCCCACGCGGGCATGGCCCCGCCGGAGGGCCGCCGCAGGGGCATGACCCCGGACAGAGGCCCGCGCCCTCCCTGCGGGGGGGGGGGAGGTAGCGGGCTGCAGGTGAAGAGCAGGGGTCGCATAAGGGAAGGTCAGGGGCAACGTTAGGGGGGATGCAGTCGAAATTGATGATAAGGACGGGTGGCCTTCCCCAGGGTACCCTCACATCCTTCCCTCTGCGGCCCATCCTGAACCTCTCAGGATGGCCAGTCCTGCTCAGAAAGCTTTGACATGCGCTTCAAGGGGTTTGCATC